TCCCTACAATTTCTCAGCAAGCAAAGAGACCACCAAAAAAAAAAAAATTCAAACTTTCAAGTCTTAAATTACCTCGCTTTCACAATCATACTCGTCCGTCTCATTCTCACTCGCTCCGAACGAAGAGGAAGACACATTGGGATTCCCCGCCGGCATAAGCGAGGCGGAAGAATCAACGGCCGTGATCCCGTCCCCTAGGAACATGGAGTGGCACGGACGGCTGAGGTGATCAGGCAGAGCAGCAACGGACGGAGACGATGAAAACAAAAACTGCGGGGCCTTGCCCGTGTGGGCCGCGACCGAGGCCAGAGAACTAGACGAACGGAGCAAAATCTGCTGCAGAAAAAGAGAGATTTCGTCGGACGTCGAAGGAGGCTGAGCAGGAGCAGCAGCAGCAGCTGGAGAAACTGAAGCAGAAGGTGAAGAAGAATAAGTGGCATTTTTGTAATAATGATCATGAGTATCCCCCATCACTCTCTGGTTTATTTTTCTCCTCTGTTTTTGGTTCTGGTGTTGTTTTGAGGTTTTGGGTATGTGAGAGAGAGAGAGAGAGAGAGAGAGAGAGTGTTGGCGTGTTTGCTTTGGCTTTTAATTTGGAGTTTGACGATTTGTTGCGTCTGGGAGTGTGGCAGAGTGGGCTGGTTTGCATTTGTCTGCAGATTAAATTAAACTTAAATTAACTAACGTTAATTAAATTAAAATCAAAGCGGATGATGATAATATATAGAAGAACAGTAGCAGTCGCACTCAGCATTACACGTGAGGCACACTAGAGCTTTAGTTGCTGCTGCTGCTGCTGCTGACTATGGAAATTAAACATGTTGCAGAGGCTTCTGACTCTTCCTTCCCCAATAATCCGTACCATCTAACTTTGTCATTTAACTTTACCCATTTTGTTTGTCTAATTTTAATTGGGTTTTACTTTGTTTTGGTTGGTGTTAACCAAATTGAACATGCACCCTAGTAGCTATAAGTTTAATGGTACTTGTTCTTTTTCTAATGTAAAAACAAATTCGAATTTAATTGAATCCCCCAATTGATCTTTATGTTCTGGTTTCTTTTAGAAAATGAATTTTTGTAAAAACGTCACATGAACTTATATCATAGTTTCAATTTATTACTTTAAAGAAAAATTTAAGAGAAACGTCATCTTAATTTTTCAAAATCCATGATTTGTCATCCGACTTTAACAACATTAATTTCTCCATCTATTTTAAGGGTATTTTAGTCTTTTTATTTTTAAGAAAATAAATAAAGAAAAAATATACTCTCTTCCCTCACCCTTTCTCCCCCACCCCAAAACACATGGCACTAGACTCCCCTTCCCCTCCTCTCTCTCTGTTCATTTCAAACTAGATATCTATATATACATATGCAACGCACATTTGTAAACTTAATTTCACTTACTTTGCTAACAATTTGTAAATTTGGTTTTCATACGAGCCTACATTGCTCCCAAGGTGTGTTGAAAAAGAGAAAGAAGATGGAACTCTTGTCAAATGTCAAAACATGTCAGGCAAATTTGGAACTACAAATCCGAGAGACACGACACTCAATGTCAGTGATGCTGCGCGTTGTTTAGCAATAGCCACCTATGAAGGAGGATATGATGATCTTCGAAGGGAAAGGACCACAACTACATCCACAAGTCTAAATTGGATTTTGACTAAAGTGGAGTTGCTGATTTTTTCTTGAGTGCTTTTGTACGTAGCATGTAGTACCACCCCTAGATAAAATCAACAACTTTTGCCACTATCATTAGTCTTTTTTATTTATTAAAAATCAATAATAATAAAACTGAAACATGCTCTTATCCGTGTATTGTAATTTTTACATAAGCATCATGTGTGTGATACTTCTGATTATATAATGAATATATGTAAAACATAGTATATATAAAGCGATGAATTTTGTCTGCATATCAAAATATTTTGAAGTTTCCAAGTGTACCTTTTCTTTCGCACTCGAACTTGATCTTCCTTTATGTATATTAAATTAGTTTAGAATATTACTTTATAAAAAATAAAAAAAACCCTAAATATATAATATTTGTTACATAAAAAATCTATCGGACAATTCAACAATATTACAAAATAGAAAATCTTTACCTTAGAAAATTGAACGGAGAAAAAAGCGAATTAGTAATTATGTAACGACTGGGATTATAATTTTGTACTGGCTTAACGTTGTTTTTCACGTCAACATAATTGTTTTGTAGGTAATTAGTAAATGGGACAGACAGGGGACCAGACCACTCACATCCCTGTCGCTGTCATGTCCAAGCCAACGTCACCTTAACCAGACACAAAATAATGTAACCAAAATATTTTTCAATATCTTTCAATCTTTCTTCATCAAGATATGTGTCTTCTTCTGATTGGGTTAGACGATACCTTCTTCTACTACCCTACGTGCGGGACCACCAGAGTATCCGTGTCACCATCAACACACGTCACACACGTCTGATCAACACCTACACACATCTTTTAGTAGGCCCTGGTTTAGGATCCCCACGTGTCAAAACAAGAAGAAGATATGATGATTTGAGTACGTCTCCCATAAAATGAAAAGTGGTAAGATTGGTTACCCTAATTAGGCCAATCCATTTTAACTCTTCACACCTCCTCACCACGAGCGTCTTCACACAATCATGTGGGTCGAAGCGCGCAAGCTTTCAAAACCGAAGCACCTTTCCAGTGTCAAGGACTCGAGCTTCGAGCAAGAAGAAAACAGACGAGGCTCTGCTTCTCCAACAAACTTAACATCACACAAAACAAGGTTCGTGAGTGTGCTAAATCGATCAACAAAAATATTATCTGCCCTCAGTTTGCATGTACGCAAGGAGAGATGCCTCAGTTTTGATCAGAAGCAGATGTGTAGGAAAGTTATAACAGTCAATTGTTGTCCAATCAGTTACGCTCCGATAATTCGTCACAACTGAAGGCAAGCTCAAGGGTTACAGAAAAGTTGATCCAGCCTTTGAAGTAACGAGGATGCTCGTTTCCAATGCAGCATTGAACCTTGAAGGATTCAATCTTGGTTCCCGAATGTGAAGCTAAGACTGCTTCTATGCTTCTTTGGAAAAATCTCACATTCCTAATGGAAACCATTCCATGTGTATATGTGTTTGCGTAATTCGAAATTATGTTAGGCCAATCAAATTCCAGTCTTGACTTGTGTGCATAAATGTTCTTCCAACTTCGTGATAACTTGCTAGTGCGTATCGCATCTCTCATACTCAGCAAGTTAACAATTGTATGAAGAACATCATCAGGCAATGCACTAATGTGATCCTTGTCATTGTGGTTGGAGGTGTCAGCTGATATTCCACTCTCTTTTCATGGTTTCAATCTGATCAAGAAAATGCAATGAAATTAGCAGGAGTTTTGATTTTCTTATGGCACATCATATATGTTATAAGGCTAAAGTATCATTTTCACATATACATGGTGTTATAAATCCTATGTCACTGCAGAGCATCCAATTCTCACAACAAGAACAACACAAAGCCCTGGTGAATTGTCTTCTCATAGGCTTCTGTGTACTCACTCACCAGTTAGATTAGCAAGATTAGCTAGCTCCATTTCCCTCTCCCAGTAAGACCCCCTGACTGACCAACCCGCTGCCGAGCAAGAAAAGGAGATTGAATTCATTAAGCAAAACAATTACCAAGGATAAGAGCACCAACATATATATTGACAACGAAATCCTCAATCAAGAGGGAAAAACAGAAGATCAGCTACAAGAATAGCATAGACATTAACAAAAATCATCAATCAACGGAGAAAGGCATAGGTCACCTCAGATGATACAGAAATTAGATAAAAATAATATTCATAGAATTAAAGTTGAGGAAAGGCGGTGTTCCGAATAAGTGGAGAGAAAAAAACCCTCTCTCCCAAAAAACTCTCCTAGAGCCGTTTTCACTTTGAGGGGGGGAGGAGGCCTTTGTTCTTCCTCTCCTCTCCCCTCTTTCTCTTCCTCCCTCTCTTCTCCAGAGACAAATGGTTTTCTCTCATAGGCGATTGTGATTTGTTCTGATTTTCCGCCAACCATCATAGGCGATGACGTCTCAGCGTTGGATCTCTACCTACGTTTTGACGTCGGATCTCTACCACCATCTTTTTTGCGGTTTCTATGTTCGGAATAAGTCATAGAGACTCTGTAGGTTCTCTGTGAGTTTTCACCTCTCCTTTTGTGAGAGCTTTTCACCTCTCATTTGTGAGAGTTTTTTATCTCTCCTTTGTGAGAGTTTTATTTGTATTGTTATGGCTTGATTTTTTCAAGCTTTGTCTATTTTTGATTATTCTGAGTTTGCAATCTTAGTTGGGATGCCTATGCTAGAGTTTATTTGATCCTGCGTGATCGTTAGTGGAGGCGCACCAGATTGTCTTAATTTTGTTATTCGACTGCTCCGTTATTGTTATCGCCCTTTGTGGCTAGTTTGTTTTGGCCCCTTGTGGCTAATGACTTTTTTGGCTGAATTATGAATGCAATCCTAGAATTTCTAAAAAAAAAAAAAAGTTCAGGAAAGGCGTTATACCAGCTCTGGTTTCAGAAGTAGTTAAGTGGAGACGAGAAATGATTGATGCCTAGCTAAAATTTGTTTCTCTGATGTCTCTCTCACTTTGTTTTCTCCGACGTCTCTATCGATGTCTCCCTTTGTTTCTGTTGTTTGTCTGAAACCAAGTGAAAGGGAAAAGCGGTTTATATATGTAAGAGTGGACTGCAAAATCAACTCACACTGACACATTGTATGAGCCTCGTGTCAGGCTGTCAGCTCCATCTCAAATTCCCAGTGAATGCATCCACCTCAGCTATCTCATATTTTTCCCTTTCCAGATTCGTCTTAGTTGGTTCCAAATTTCCTGAGTGTAACGCATTTTACTTGCCTATATATCTAATTTTGATTAATCTTATTGAGATTTATTGTCTTTTTCTTGAACATTTAGTCCACTTTTTCTGGCTCACGAAAGCGTGCACATGGAACAATATTACTCTTCTGCCTTGAGCCTAGCTAGGTTATTCAGAGGGAACTTCATGACCTAATTTAACACTGGGATAATCCTTAGATGTCAATGCAAAATGGAACAAAAGACTGGACTTAGATGTAATCTTAATTCTTATCTATTGGCACTTGCGCCTACTGTATTTCTTTGCGGGGTTTTGGCTCTTCGCACAGTCCCGGTGTATTATTTTTTCTCTTTTTAAAATATAATATAGGGGGATAGGTGGGCGGCTCCAGAAAGTGTAGGTCCTTTCTCCTTTGGAATTGAGAGTGGATTCTTGCATTATGTGACCTTCACTGAGGAGCTAATCTCGCCTAATCCTCTAATAATAATAATAATAATAATAATAATAAAAAAGTTAATTAAATGACCGTTATTCAAAGGTCTAGTCGGAGATGAAATCATTTCAATGGTCAAGAATGACCCTTATTTCCTCTATTTCATTCAAAATAGCCAACCCAGTCTTCAAATCACAATCTTTCTTGTCCAAAGCACCATTCCAATGTCAAAGAGTCAACGTTGGACCAAGAAGAAACACACGCACGTGGCTCTACATCTCCAACCAGCTTCTATGATGTCCTCAAGTTATTGATATGTAATTATCCTGTGTTAGATGTAGAAATTGAATTGTAAATTGTTTTGTACCTTCTAATTGGAAATTTACAATATATTTAAACAGTCGGAAATTTTTTTATATATGGAGTACAATAGCAATATTAACTGAAAACAAGAACCCTCTGCTCATAATGTTGACATTTGAAGAGTAAAGATCCAAAATCACAACTACAAATCAATGTATCTGAAAGCAAGTCTAAAAATGCTCTGCCTTTGTTGAATTGTATAAGCTCGAGAAATTTTTGTATGTTCCGATTACACCTAGTCCTTCACCCACATTTGGCCACAACTAGAGTGTGGTAATGAGGATGAATAAGTTTCTCCAACCAGGCATAAAAACTACGCACATTAATCCGCTTCAGCATTAAATGGACATCCTTCAGATTGGGAACCCTTCCCAATCTTAATTGTAGTTCTGCGTGGTCTCCAATACAATGAAAAGTGGTAAGATTGATGACACTAATTAGGCGAATCGATCTCAACCCTTCACATCTCTTCACCACCAACATTTTCAAACAATCAAGTTTGTCAAAGTGCAAGCTTTCGAAACCATAGCACCGTTCCAATGTCAAAGACTCAAGCTTCGAACAAGAAGAAAACATGCTAGGCTCTACTCTTCCAACAAACTTGACATCACACAAAACTAGACTCGTGAGTGTGCTAAATCGATCAGTGAATATATTATCTAGCCTCAGCTTGCATGTACGTAGGGAGAGATGCCTCAGATTTGATCCTTCACCACTCGGAAGCAGATGAGTAGGAAAGTTATAGTAGTCAATGGCTCTCCAATCCGTGCGCTCGGATAATTCATCACAACTGAAGGCAAGCTCAAGGTTTTTAACCCCCTTTGCTATAGCAAAATTGATCCAGCCTTTGAAGTAACGAGGATGCTCGTTTCCAAAGCAACATTGAACCTTGAAAGATTCAAGCTTGGTGCCCAAGTATGAAGCTAAGATTGCTTCAACGCTTCTTTGGAAATTTCTTACATTCCTAATGGCAACGTTTCCACGAGTATATGTGTTCGCATCATTCGAAATGATGTCTCGCCAATCAAATTCCAATGTTGACTTGTGTGCATAAATGTTCTTCCACCTGCGTGATAACGTGCTAGTGTGTATAGCATCCCTTATACTTAGCAGGTCAACAATTGAACAAAGAACATCATTAGGCAATGCACTAATACGATCCTTGCCATTGTCGTTGGAGGTGTCATCTGATAATCCACGCACTCTTTTCATGATTTCAGTCTGATCAAGAAATTCTCTTATGTCATTCATCCCAAAATCAATTAGTAAGAAGTGAAGAGGTGCAAAAAATTATATATTATGATGATATAAGACTAAACTATCACATAAACATGTTGTTATAAATCCTTAATCACCGTAGCGCATCAAATTCTCAACTAATCTACTCCGAACAAACGAGAACAACACAAAGCCCTAATGAACTGTGTTCTCACAGGCTTCTCCACTCGAACACAACAAATGATTAACAACAAAGCCCCCGAAGACATTATATATTATTTAAGGCTCTAAATTCTATGTGAGACTCTCACGCTCATGGATGGACTAGAAAGACCTAATCTTAAAAAAAACAAAAAAAAAAGTGTGTAGAATGAGTTTATGTATGTCTTAAGAAGAGATTGTTTTGCCCGAGAGATAGACAAGAAAGATAGCCAACAAACATTATTTGTTTTATATACTGGTCACGGAATTATATAATCAAATATGAAAAATCAACCACCCAAAACCTTCCCCTATTTTATTTTGTTTTATATCCAATTTAAATCCAAAAAAATTTCCCCATTTCAGCCTAGCAAACTATCTCCATGTCCCCCTCCCAAAAAGACTCCCTGACTGACCAATCTGCCACCCAAGCAAGAAAAGCAGATTTAATTCCTTAAGCAAAACAATTACCAACAACAACATATACATTAACAAGAAATCACCAAACAAGAGGGAGAAACTCAGATCAGCTAGAAGAGCCAACATATACATTAACAAAAATCATCAATCAACCGAGAAAGGCATAGGTCACCTCAGATCTAATGATACAGAAATTAGATAATAATAATAATATTCAGAGAATTAAAGTTGAGGAAAGGCGTTATACCAGCTCTGGTTTCAGAAGTGGTTAAGTTGAGACGAGAAAGGGTTGATTCCTAGCTAATGTGTTTCTCTGATGTCTGTCTGTCTCTCTCTCTCTCCCTTTGATTCTCTTGTTTGTCTGAAAGGTCGGTTTATATGTAAGAGTGGAATGCAAAGCAACTCACACTGACGCATTGTGTGAGCCTCGTGTCAGGCTGTCAGCACTATCTCATATTTTTTCCCCTTCCAGATTCATCTTAGTTGGTTCCAAATTTCCTTATTGTAACGCATTTTACTTGCCCGGATGACTTTGATTATTTTGATTAATCTTATTGAACTATTGTCTTTTTCTTGAAGAGAGTCCATTTTTTCTGGCTCACCAAAGCGTGCATATGGAACAATATTACTCTTCTGCCTTGAGCCTAGCTAGGTTATTCAGAGGGAACTTCATGACCTAATTCAACACTGGGATAATGCTTGGATGACAATGGGAAGAAAATGACTGGACTTATTAAATCATGGATTAAATGACTTGACATATATTTTTTTAAAAGTTGGCTCTTATATGAAGAGATTATAGAGTGATACCGTATTTCCACATCAGCCGGTGATATTACTGCAACGTGTCCTTTTTAAAAAAGAAAATTAAATTTTTTTCACAGTTGGAATTTGTCTTCCAACTTTACCCTAAATAAAATTGAAAAACAGGAAATAGAAAACAAGAAGCAGATTGTAGCAGTTTCCCACCCTGATGCCGTCGGCAATCTGCCTTCCTTGCACTGCCGTCCCTTGGCTGCAGTCCCCCTCCAATAATGCCAACATCAAACAACACCACCCAAAATGTGGTTGAAAAAATTAACCAAAAGAAAAACAAAACCCATTTACTTGGTTGCCACATCAATAATTACCCTTCTTTCACTAGGGTGTTGTGTCATAGGAGATGCTCTTGAAGATTTCTGGTTTTATGTTTAATGGGTTTACACTGATTTTCAAGGTATCTGGCTTTTTCTTAATAGGTTTAACTTTTCACCGATAATGGGAGGAGTGCCTCGTAGCTTCGGGGTAGAGTACGTTTGGTTGATTTGGTCCAAGGCACATCCTAGATACTGTAAAAAGTCAATGATCGATGTTGACTTATTGTTATGTTCTACTTCTATGGCCAGCAAGCAAGCACCTCAATTTTTCACTTCTATAAAGCAGCCAATTAAGCCTGAAAACTAAGAACAAGGTATACCTAATG